AGAGAAGTAGCAGCGTGCACTTTCTTAGTGACGTCCTTGCCTGCTTGAAGCAGGGATGTGCATTTTATACTACTCCTTCTGTTAGCGACAGGGCCCCAGAAGGTGGCCTCAGCTTAGGGGAAGGGCGATGCTGCCTTCTCCGGCGTCACCGGCTTGCACCCGCTCATGTGTGCGTGTGCACCTCTTGCAGGAAGTAAGAGACTAGCCACGTGGTTGGCAGAGCCAGGATTCAAACCCGGATTTCTAAAACTGCAAACCATGCTTTTACACGGTCTCTACTATCTAGCCAGCTGGATTTGGACAGAAAGGTCTGGAATTTTCTGTCCAAGCTCCAGGCCTTAACACACGATGAGCAGGTGTTCTGAAGTGCATAACTCTGCGGGTCAATTCCAACTCTTAGCGACCCTGTACATAGGACAGGGTAGAACTGCCCCGTAGGATGAAGCTGACTGCCACATCTTTCTCCTAAGGAGCAGCTGATGGGTTCGAACCTACAACCTTTGGTTTAACAGTCGAGTGCTTACCTATTGCACCACACGGGCCCTTTCTGAAGCTTATAGTGCACAATCATATTCCTAGATTTCATTTGGTTCTCTCTATTTCTCTGTCTCTCTCACATCGCTCATACACATGCTGAAGAAATTGTGGCCTGAGGTGCAAGAGAAAATATTCCCATCTTTCAAAGGTGCTCATTGTTAGTTTGTGTTTCAGCAAAATTAATTTCAGTAAAATTAATTTACTCCCTAGATTTCTACCTGGGTGTAGCAACCCTCGTTCCAAGCATATGGGGTTCACACCAGTCCTTTAGAACAGCTCATCAAATCTAGGGAGTCCCTCGATGGTTCAAATGGTTAAGCGCTCAACTACTAGCCGAAGGTTGCAGGTTTGAAACCACCCAGAGGCACCTTGTTGTTTGTTGTCTTACAGTCCTGGAGGTCAGAAGTCTAATATGGGTCTGTTCTGGCTACCTAGTGCCATTCTGATAAGAATATACCACAAATGGGATGGCTTGAACAAACAGGAGTTTATTCTCTTGTTTGGAGGCTTTAAGTCCAAGTTCAAAGTGCCAGGCTCTAGGGGCTGGGTGAAAGCCCCTCGACTTTGGGCTTCAGCTCTGCCTCTTGCTCCCGGCCCACTGAAGCCAGAGGCATCTCTTCACTCAGGCAGCTACTGGGTGCTGAGGCTAACAAGTCCTAGGTCGACAAATAAAATAGTACAGTCTTGATGTTACCAAACCACCCGGCAGGCCATTAATTCAAGTCCATTGGAAGTCCCAAGGTCGGCAGAGCATGGCAAACTGCTGAACAACGACACGGCTACATGCATGGTACAAGCGTGCCATAAACTAGAGCCTATCCCCAAGGCTTCTCCTTCTATAGTGGAAGCAGACCACATCCCAAAGGCAGCTACTCAACTGCTTGTGGTAGATCCCACCATGGAGTTGATTGCCAGTCGCATCATGGGGAATAACTACCACCAGCTGCCCAGACACTCAACCAGGCCCTGCCAAGTTGACACACAAACATAACTACCACAGGGTCTTACCAGGCTAAAACCAAGGTGCATCAGCAGGGATGTTTTCCTTTCAGGAGATGTCAGCGGAAAGTC